AAGGCTGTCTAGTATCTCGGAATTTATCTAGTTACTCTTACTTCTATTATTTAGTACGTTACTTAAAGGAGACGGTACTTTTGAAGAGGCGAAAAGTGAAAAGACCCAAATGCAGGGGAAGGGAGGGGAGATATAAAAATGATCGCCCAAATATAAACACATCAATAAACACGGTGCGCAGCATCCTGCGAAGATCCATTTGAACTGCTCGCGTGTGGATTCTTCCTGTGACATATGTCTGGCTTTATATTTTAAATGGTAATCAGACGCCGGGAAGAATCAAGCGTTAACTAAAGCATTAGGAGCTGCAACCGCACAATCAATCCTCCCAGAGTGGCATTGCTCCCTAAGAGATTCCTCAGCGCAGCAGCGAGCATTTTATCTCCAGGAAAATTAAGCCCAGCCTGGCGTCGTGGTGGTGATTTCAGGCTGGAAGCAGCCCCCTTTCTCAGAAGTTTAACGCGGGAGGCACCAGGCCCCTTTACGGTTTCCAATGATCCGTGATAAACAATAACACGTCTTTTATTTCTTAAAAAAACGAGACAATCAAATAAAATGAGCAGAGCCTGGGCATAAAACACCGGGCGAGCCGCGGTTTTATTAATTTCGTGAGACACATAGGCTGTGCAGGGAGGTGAGGAGGCGTTGTTGCAGGAAAGCCCAGCCGCGGGAAGAGAGGAGCGATAGTAAAAGCTTCATCTGGACACCGCTTCAGCCTAGGTATAATAAACATCAGGACCGCCGGGCTATTTTATAGCAGTGAGTGTGATAAGAGGGGAGCAAAACTTGGAGCCAGTACCAGCACAGCCCGCTCCTTCCCCTTCCCGGGAGTGCGGCTCCCGCCTGGGCGCAGGCGCTCGCCCATGTGGTCGAAGCGCGCGCGCCTGTGTGTATGGAAATCCATATTACACATTAATATACATCTATCTTCCAAATTCAGAGGTCGACCTGAGAGCAGCTCTGTGCATACGAAACCAGACGGGGAGGGGTTGCTGGGGAGGCCCGGGCTTCCATTGGCTGCAGCAGCCTGCCGTGGCGCGGGGGTATCTCTCATCATATTCAGCATGTTTTGCACAAGAAATGTCAGCCAGAAAGGGCTATCTGCTCCCTTCGCCAAATTATTCCACAACAATGTCATGCTCCGAGAGCCCGGCTGCAAACTCTTTTTTGGTAGATTCCCTGATCAGCTCGGGCAGAGGGGAAGCGGCGGGAGCAGGAGGCGGAGGCGGAGGCGGAGGCGGCTACTATCCCAACAGTGGTATCTACCTGCCACAGGCGTCCGATCTGTCCTACGGGCTGCAAAGCTGCGGACTTTTCCCCGTTCTGAGCAAACGCAATGAAGGTACTTCTCAAAGCATGGTCCCCAGCTCGCACTCCTACGTGTCAGGGATGGAAGTGTGGCTAGACCCCCCCCGGTCCTGTCGCATGGAAGAGCCGGAGAGCCAGCAGGCCACCTCGTGCTCCTTCGCTCCAAGCATTAAGGAGGAGAGCTCCTACTGCCTCTATGACTCAGAGAAATGCCCCAAGGGCTCGGGCGCCACAGACCTCGCTCCCTTTCCCCGGCTGAGTGCCGAGGTCAGCCCGGCCAGCAGCGGCGGCGGGGTTCCCGTCCCGGGCTACTTCCGCCTCTCTCAGGCTTATGGCACTTCCAAGAACTACGGCGCGGGGTCGGCCGGGGCTGCCCCCTTCCCTCCGCAGCCCACCGGCCGCTTCCAGACGCCTCCATCTTTGCCTCCTGTCCCAGACGCGGGGAGGAAAGAGGACGAGGAACGCTCCCCCAGCCCCTTGGCGTGCGTCTCCCAGAGGGAGGACGAGACTCAGGCTTCATCTTCCACCGCAGAGGAGCTCTCTCCAACTCCGTCAGAGAGCAGCAAAGCTTCTCCCGAGAAAGAGCCCGTAGGTAAGCGAATGGTGATGTTAATGGCGGTAGTGATGATTTAAAAAGCAAGAAAAAAGAAAGAAAGAAAAAAAAACTGTTGAGGATCATAGTGGCATCGCGATGCTAAAGGAGGATCCCAGCTGCCCCGCGGGGCTGCCAAGAAGCGCTGCTCAGACTGACCTTCTGAACTTTGTAATATTCGGGCATGGGGTTGCCGTAAAAATTAATGTCCATCCTGTAGTTTAAAATCCTTAGAGCCTCTGCAATGGGCAATTTTAGCCTGCATGCCGCTTAAACATATAAAATAACAAGATCACTTTTTCCCCTGTGTTGTGAAGGTGCCTACCAGATAACAGAGATGTTTGTGAAGCATCCAAAATAAGCAATAGGCAGTGCCAATAAATAAACCTATTAACACGGTAAGTTATATTTTACGATCCAGAATGCTTTTCGAAATAACAGCCGCGCTGAAATGTGCCATCTATGAGCTGCTATCAAATTAGACTGATGAATGCAACCGCGAATATCCTTCAGCGTCTACACTAGATAACAGAGCTGTTATTTATACATTTCCTCATTTATTTCCCTTTCGGGTCCCCATGGCAAAAAATAACTCCCCTTCCCCGGGCGGCAGACTTTTCAGGAGCTTCTCTCCATTCGCATTTCAGACGCCCTGTTATTCCTTTCAAGCGCACTATTGGAAAATAATATTTAAAAAAAAAATGAAAGAAAGAGAAAAACTACTAGAGAGCCAACCCCAAACCACTAACTCTGAGCCACCAAGGGATTGGTGTTACCTCTTTCCCAACCAGTGGGGAACATCTTTGAAACGTTTTTATTATTATTATTGTATTTTTTCTTCTCTGAAATGCTAAGGAAAAGAGAGGGCCGTGGTGAAGCATTCTGGAAAGGCAGGGTCGAAAGGCAGGGAGGCTTCGGCTCCCCAGCTCACCTTGTTTTCCACCTCCATAGCACACTTAAAAAGTTCACATCCACAGGCTTTGGTTTTTTGGAAGCAGGTGGCGGGGGTGGAGTTGGAAGTCAGCCTACAGGTCGTTCACCAAGCTGCCCCCGGTAACAGTGGGCTCTGAGCGGCTAATAGGGAGAGAATAGAAGCCTATTTTGGGGTGTCGGAGTTGAACTACACGACGGGGCAGGAGGTTTTTGAACACTGTCAGTTTTTACCAAGGTAGATCCAGTGCCTTTGGGAAACCACTTTGAAGCTCTCGGTTCCCACAAGGATACCCCACATTCCAACTCTCCGCAGCTGGCGGAGCGAGTCGACATGGATGCTCCTTCCACCCTCTCCCCCATAGCTCCTTGCCTCTGACTCGATAGTAACGTCCATTCTTTACTTTCTCAAAACTAGGGAATTCAAAAGGAGAAAATGCAGCAAACTGGCTCACGGCAAAAAGTGGCAGAAAGAAACGATGCCCCTATACCAAGCATCAAACTCTCGAGCTGGAAAAGGAGTTTCTATTCAATATGTACCTGACTCGTGAGCGTCGCCTAGAGATCAGCCGCACAGTCCACCTCACAGACAGACAAGTTAAAATCTGGTTTCAGAACCGCAGAATGAAACTGAAGAAAATGAACAGAGAGAATAGGATTCGGGAGCTCACAGCCAACTTTAATTTCTCTTGATGAACCTATAAACACGTCTTTATGGTTTAAAGAGCCAGTATCATTTTCCTAGGCTGTAGTCATCCGCACCTGTATGGATTAACGATTTTAGACACTCTCAATACGTCCTTAACCTCTTAAGAGCTACTTTGGGGGGTGAGGGGGTGGGCAGACTAAAGCCACGCTAGAGCACAAAATGCCGTGCGTGAACCTCCCCTCTTCCTTCAGCCTTCTTCCGGGCCGATTTGTTCCTCTAAGCTTTGAAACATAGAAATACGATTTCAGAAGCTGCAAATAGGTTTTCCTGTATATGTCTCTTTGAAAACTAAACAATCTTGGTTAAAGGTACATTCTTTTAAAATATAAGTGCTGTAACTTGGACTATATGTAGCTGCACAATGAAGAATTTAAGCCTTGCCATATTTCTATATGTTGGGTTCCCTCCTCTGTTTTCCTTTTCTCCCCCTCCCCCTTTTTTCTTCGAAAAGCAGGACTTAAAATAATGAAATGCAGGCATGCTTTAAAAGGATTTCATGGGAACGGGTGTTAAGAATTTTTTTTTTTTTTTTTTTGCTTTACCTTAGAAGTCATTATTACAGCTTTAAAATTGGCCAGGAAAATGAAATCTCTTCTCTTTAAAGGTATAAAAGAGTTCGTTTTGCTCATGGACTAAATTATTACTCTTACCTCTGAATTTCTCTTGCTGGTTGTAGATATTTACTTAATGTAGTTTTGCTTAAATATGTGGAATTAGTGATTTTTTTTGTGTCTATATATAATGTTACCATTGGTAACGCATGACAAGCACACAGAAATTCCCCCTTGAGAAAGAAATAGTCACTTTTTTCCTCACTAATTTCACTGAAAAGTACATATCCTGAACATGAGATGGACTTTCTGAGCCAGAGTCTGAGATTGCGAGGGAGAACGTGTCTTCCTTTATACTGTGAAGTTACATGCATTAAAGGGTCAAACATATGGGTGAAAAAAAATTTAAAAAGAGAAAAAAAAAGAAAGAAGGGGGAAAGCTATAAATACAAATATGGATAAATGTCTATTATTATTAAAATGCCGATACTGTTTTAAGCAAATGCATTCTATCGTTATTATAAATGTTAGTTCTAGCTATATCTAGTTCTTACCTTAAATCGGAATAAATTAATATTGTAATGCTGCTGTGCGTGAAAAAGACGATGTTTATGTTCTCATAGAAGAATAAAAAAAAGTGGAATGAATCCTTTTAATTTTACCTCTTTTTGTGACTGTTTATCCTCAGGTTCTACTTTATGTCTTCGAGAACTTTTACAACAGGAATAGTTGCCTAAACCCCCTGCAATTACTTTAGGAATCTATTTAAATATTACCTAGACGGTCGTAATTTGTCTGGGCCATATAGCGATGGTGCTCTAAGGTTTGTCGGCTTTTGTTCAGTTTTATGACTTGCTAGTATATCTGGATTGTTGCTGTCTTGAACGAGTGGTTTCAGTTGACTGAGGAGCTGCATAGACTGAGGAAGCAAATTACTATTTCTTGAGGGAAGGGAAACGATTTTTTTTTTAATCGAACACCTACAAATGTGCGGAGATCTTTAACTCCAGAAGAGGCTGACAAAATCCTAGCTTTATCTCAGGGCTGAGAAGAAATCGTAAAGGTGAGCTCATGGGGAGGGGGGGACCCAGGTCTCGTCTCTCTGCCAGTGGGCCCCTCCAAACAAGGCTATTCCCTACCTGGCTGCATGTGGAAGAACTTATTTCACCCAGCTGCCTTTTTTTTTTTTTTTTTTGCATCCTCCCTTCCTTGATGCATGTTTAGCTTGCACAAAGTCTTGTACAATGGGAAGGCAAAAGGAAGGCTGGAAGAAAAACGACAGCTAATGCTTCCTTGCAAGGGTATATGTATGCCGGGAGGAGGGGGGGACAGACTTTGAACCCGGGCTTCTTGGGAGCCGTTAGCTTTTCATGATGTAACATTCTCGTGCACGGCCTTTTTTTTTTTTTTTTCCCCGATTGCATCTGCATGGAAAGGCGAAAGCTGCCCGCGCGCGCTTCTGTGGGTGGTTGTTATTATATTTTATTCTTGTTTTCATTAACCCACCCGAGGCTGGCCGGGGGGCGCGGAGGGGCGCCGGCGGGGTGGGCGGGAGGGAGAGAGGGATGTTTAGTCACGTTTCTGGCTTTATTTTTGTAGCGGGATCCTTGCGTTAAGGACCACGGCAATGGGGAAAGTAATAATTAGCGCCTGAGAACTGCTCTGTGGTTTAGGTAGTTTCATGTTGTTGGGGCTCCACCTTTCTCTCTACAGCACGAAACTGCCTTAATTACTTCAGTTGATATCATCACCAGGTATGCTTGGTGCGAGGGTCCTTTCTGCCCGAAGAAATCTTAGCGCTGAAGTGAACTGTAGGCGTCAAGTCCCAATGCCATTGTTTCTCATCTGCAGCGGAGCCTCCTTTGATTCCTCAGATAAACACGGCAGCCGAGGGGGGAAGCTTGACAAGTTCTTCAAGGTTAGCTAGCTCCTAAGCGAGTCCCTGCCTGCTTGCGGGTTTTTAATGTATCTCGTTGGCTGCATTCAAGGTCAGGTGCGTTTTGCATTCCGCTCGCCGTGGATCGAGCTCGGGGGGTCGGGGGAGGTGGGGGGTCGTTTTTATTTTTCAGCCTGGATTTATTAAAAAACAAGAGACCCGAAAGTGTGCCTGGGGGAGGGGTGGGGAGAGATCAAATCTGCCGGCCCCGCTCCGCGCGTCATCAAAAACAAGGGCCCGGAGCACAGCGCCCGCGGTCGGGTGGACCCACTGGCGGCGGAGGTGCCGGTCCCGCTGGCGGCTCTCGTCCCCCGCGGTGGGGTGGCTGGTGCCTGCCGGAGCCTGTCGCAGGGCTCCGCCAGCTCTGTGCCGCCGCCCGTCGGGCCCGCTCCGCCGGGGCTGCCCGGGGGCGCCGGCAGCCCCGCAGCCCGCAAGGCCTCGGTTACGATCACGATTGCGGCGCGGTCTCTCCGCGGAGGCGGAACGGGCAACAGCGACCTCTCCGGGCCCGCTGCCGCCGCCGCCGCCGCCGCCGCCACCACCGCCTTTTGTGTCCGCAGCGCAACCGCGGGCCATGGGCGGGCTCCCGCCGGGCCCTCCGCCGGCAGCCAGCGCCGGCGCACCCGCGGAGCCGGGCACCCTCCGTGGCGGAAAGGAGGCTGCGGGAGAGGATCGAAAACTCACTCCTTGGGCATTTATTTCTATTTAAGATTTTAGGGGTCGTGATTACTTTTGCCTTAAAAAAATAACAATAGTAAAACCTATACACTTTTTGGAAAGTCCAGGTTGGGCTGCAGGGGCTCAAAAGAGTTTGAATAGCGGATTTTAGCTAGACCGATCCCTATAGGAGCGGATGTCCCCGGCCGGGGCAGGAGCAGAGCTCTGCATTGCTTGTGCTTGTGTCCGTCTCTGCATACACAGTGAGTCTGACGGGCTATCTGCTGGGGCTGTGTACATTCAGGGAGTGTATTTACAGTGCCTATGACTGTGCGTGCCTGTATGGTGTTTGTTGCCTCTGCCCTTTTGATTCCCAATTGAATCGCCTCATCTTGACTTTGGACTGCTTCCCCTTAATTCTGAATCATTTTTTCTCTTCACTGTGCCAAAACCCCTCCGTGCATTCATAGCACCACTGGTTCAGAGAGCTCTGCAGTGGCAGGAAACCCTGGGGAAAAGCGATCCTGAACTTCCCGTTCAGGAGAGGTCGCCAACGCCCGCGGATTCCTGCCCCGCGCCCGAGTATACTCCGCGCCTCCGTGGTGCGTGGCTAATGAAGCAGAGTTTACAGATGTCTCTCGCTTGAAAACCGGTGGGATCCTTCCTGTTGCAGCCGGGGGTCAGAGCTAGAGGAATGGGAGCTTTGCTAATTCGGTTATATCGGGATGGAGGGCAAGGAGTATTTTTATTCGGACACGACGGCTCCATCAGTGCTTCGTTCCTGGGAATTCCGGTTTCATATAGCAATTTTATGTGAACGCCTGTTTCTGCCCTGCTTGGGGTCTTTTGCCTTCGAAGGTATAAGGCACCAAAACCTTAAGGCATTTGCAACACAAACTGTACGAAGCCCACTCGTTTTTGTAACTCGTGTGAAAACTGTACTTTGGTTGAAAATGGATCTAAAACCGCACAAAAAAGAGGAGAATATCCCAGTGTTTTTTTCAGCAACGTTACCGCGTGAAAAATGTCTAATTATTTGCTAGATTTTGCCTCTTGCTTTCTGTACATCCTGTCCTTCCTCTTGGATGCTGGCAGTGAACAAATACAGAATTTTACAGGGAAATAAAAATGCAGACACATTCTGTTAAACGCTACTGTTATTGTTATTCATTTGCTATTAGTTTTGGTGAGGAACCAAAAAAATGAAACCCGCTGCTGAAGTTGAGAACCCAAATTCGAGTATAAACATCCAGGACTCCTGCAGCTAAGATTATTTTTTCTGAATGGAAAAAGGAAGTTCTACAATCACATTTCACCACAGCTGACTCTTAATAATAAATACGAATGACGTGGAGTTCCGTCTTTCCAGGAAAGAAATACAATTATTTTTTTCTATTACGGAGAGTCTATACAATAGCGGAAAAAAAAAAAAAGGCAGAGAGCTTTATTTGCATTTTTAAAATTGTTAGAAAATAACGGGTCCCTTTTTTATTGAGGTCCTGCAACTGCTCCGTAATTTTTGAACTCTAATGGGGGATAATAGTTTCATTATGGACCTTTGTAACTCTGAATGGGGAAGAGAGCATTGTTAAAATAGGATCTCTGTAAGATTTCGGATTAAACTGTTGAGAAGACATAAAAAGAAAAAGAAAGAGAAGAGAGGAGAGAGAGAGAGGGAGAGAGACAGCCCACATAGCGATGTAAAACTAATTAGAACCACACTTTCGCATGCACAGTCTTTACACGCGATTTTAATTATTACTCGGTCGTCCCAACCATTTGCTGGGTTCTATTTTCAATAAAAGATATTTTGAGTAAATTGGGCCTCTCGCGGAGATTTTTTGTGCCCCCTGCATCCTGGTGACCGCGCTCCTTCACCAGCCACGGGGATAAACAGCGTGATAGTCCGCCAGAGAGAAACCAAGGAGTCGCAGGCATGTTTGCCAAGCGCTCAGCCACGACTTTAATTCCTAACACTGGACTTGGATCTGGCCGCCTCTTACTTTTCCCCCGCGCACCCTCCCCTCCTTCTGCGGAGGATTGTAACCCTCCGCTTGGCTTCCGATGCCGCTAGCGTGTGTCTTGCAGTCATAGGAGGTGCCAGCAAATAAATAACTATATTTGCACATAAATTTGATTCACCAGAATGCGGGACGGCCGACTGCGAACGCCCCTTTGATAGCCGCCCGGAGAAGCAGGGTGCCTTTCGGCAGCGGGGAGACGGGGCTTTTTCTCCCCTTTCCCCCCGCTGCTTCCCTGCATAGCTGAAGAATTAATCGTCGTGATAAATATCGCCGCCCGGCTCTCCCCGCGCTCCTTCCCTCCCGGTCCCGACGGTGGCTCCGCTCGGGCCGCCGCCGAGCCGCCCAGCCCCGGCTCTTTTCCCTGGCCTGGCGAGGGGTCCCCGGTCCAAGGGCAGGGGCGGGCAGGCGCGGCGGGGAGGACGAGGAGGGTGTTTCGGTCACTGCCGCACCATGCCCTGCGGGGTGGGGTGGTGAAGTGCAGTTTGGTGCGGGCCATCCTAAATAACGAGCCAGCGCCTGCCCCTGTCCTCCTCCGGTCGGGCGGGGAAGGCCGGCTCTGCGCTGCGGTTTCGGAAAGGAGATACATTGAATTTGACTTTCCACTGCCAGCTCTGAGCCGAACGGAACGGTATTATTTACAGTGGGTTCCCAAACTAAACACAATAGTATAATTTAACCTTTCCAAGCACTCGTAAATTTTTACTGCTGAGAAACACAGCGATGCAAATGAGCGCGCTCATAGTTACTGACTTAATAACAACCCCGTGGCTCCCGAAACAATAACTCCTTATGAAATATAATAAATGTATATTTAAATACAGTATACCGCAACTGTTATTTTGCTTTTTTTATTGCTTCAGTTATTGTATCATTTTATGTGAAGGTCTCCGATCACAAGGGTGGTGGGATTTTTTTTTCGCGGGGAACACGACCCACTGATGGGATGATTAATTATGATATAAAATAGTCCGCTTAAACGAAAAAATAAAGAGAGAGGGGAGAGAGAGAGAGAAAGAGGGAAGGGGGGCTGTAATACGGAATCTGATCTTTTAATCTCAGTTGGCCGCAATTAAAACAAACCCCACCGTATAACTCAAATATCCCTTTGCATAAAAACATATGGCCTCGCTATAAAAATTATGGCTGGAAAACACTGACCCATTAATAGCCCGCGGACTGATTTATACTTTATTGTTCTGCTCCCTCGCCACGTGACCGGCGCAGCCAATGGGCGCCCGCGCTGCCCCCAACTTATTACTGACTCTACTTCCCCGCCAGCACCAAGTTGTTACGTGAAACCCGCAGCCCCGAACCGCGGCGGGTCCGCCGCGCCCGCCCGCCCGCCATGTCGGCTCCCGGGACCCTCAGCAATTACTACGTGGACTCCTTCCTGGTGCCGGAGGGGGACGAGCTGGCGGCGCCCCGCTACGCCCCCGCCCCGCTGGGGCCACCGCCGCGGCCGGCGGCGCTGGCCGAGCACCCCGAGCTGGCCCCCTGCAGCTTCCAGCCCAAGGCGCCCGTCTTCGGCCCCCCCTGGAGCCCCGCGCACCCCGCCGGCGCCCCCGCCGTCTACCACCCCTACGCGCACCACCAGGCGCCCGTGGCACCGCCCGACGGCAGGTACATGCGTTCGTGGCTTGAGCCTGTGCCGGGCTCCTTGTCTTTCCCCGGGTTACCTACCAGCAGGCATTACGGCATTAAACCTGAACCGCTGGCGGCCAGGAGGGCTGACTGTACCACGTTTGACACTCACACTTTGTCTCTCTCTGATTATGCTTGTGGTTCTCCTCCAGTTGATAGGGATAAGCAAAACCACGAAGGCGCATTCTCTGAAAGCAATGGAGAAAGTGAGGCAAACGGAGAGAAACCGCAGATCGATCCAAGTAAGTGGGACTGCGAGGGTAATGGACTTTAGGGCGCTGCGCTGGCCGCGGGGAGGTATCGAGGCGCTGGGGCTAATTACGTGGCCGAGCACCGGCCGCTGCCGCCGCCGCTGCGCCAGCTCGCCCGAGTCTGCCATCTGCAAAAGCCAGCGCTGCCTTTCTCAGGCTCGAACGGGATCTAGGACGGCTCTGGCTTTCCAGGCTGAAAGGAAAACAAAAACCCACTCTACAACTGCAACTTGAACAAACACTAAAAAAAAAAAAAAAAGAGAGAGAAATGCAATAGCCGCCCACCCCTGCTCCAGCCACCCCAGCAAACTCCTCGGGACGTGCTCACATCACCCTGCCTCGCCGCGCTCCCAGGCGTGGGCAGACGCCGGGAAAAGTGTGCCTAGAAAGCAATGAATGTGAATCTGATCTTTTTTGAGACGGCTCTCAGGCCGGGGCGGCTATTGATGGTGTGAGAGCAGAAACCCCTCCGCCGTTGACTTGATTTCCCCCCTCCCCCCTTCGACTCCTCTGTGGAAAACCCCAGGCTGGATGCTCCCAGGGCTGCGAAACTGGTGGCAGAGCGCCCCGGGATTACTATCGCGATTAACGCCGTGCGAATAAGGGTCCTAAGAGGGCGAGGGTTTAATTATGCCAGTTGTAGACTGACTCTCCAGCTTCCGGGGTCTTGCCAGGGATGACACGGGAGAAGGTAGAAATAAAAAAGTGAAACAATTTCGGTGACATATTAGTCTGGCTGGTTACTCCCCGTGCTGGCAGTTTAAAGGGGGGGGGGAGGCCAGGAAGGAGGTAGGAATCTATCACAGAGGAAGAGAGAGAGAGA